TGGAGGGAGTGCACCGATGGAGGGAAGGAAAAGCAAGGCTTCCTCTTGCAGACACATTTCCTGCAGTGAAAATGATCATTACTTCTGCCGCCAGTGCGCTGTATGTGCTGACAGCAGGTGCAATATTTGCACAGAATTCATATTAGGCAGCTCAGAACTGCGTCCACAAAAGTAATTGTAGCTTTGGATGATTATTTTCTCTGATATACAGAGAAAGCCTTAGGTGCTCTCTGATTGGACAGGTTTTAAAAAAAAAAAAAAAATCCTAAAACTGACAAATACACAGTTGCCTTCGGCAGCTTATCCAGAAAGAGTGCATTTTTGTTGTTTGACTAATCTCTCTCGTCACACCCCTGGTGTGTCCATCTGGTGCACTGATAGTGTCGTTTTTGGAACAACTCAGTTATCTCTTTCTTTTTTAATCCAATGATGTGCAAATGCCTAGTATGCTTACGGGGGGCCAATATCTAATTTTGAGTAAGTTGCCATCTTTCCTTTCACTTATTACATGTCTTGGCCGTAGCAGTGTTGTGAGATTATTTATGTTAATATAATTAAGTGTGGGTTGTGTTAAAGGGGATTTTTATAATTTTTTCCAGTCTAGTGCAGACAAATAGTGAAGTTTAGCCCTTTCACCACCAGAACCAAGTCACACGCATGCTTGGAATAGGGTGCATCTGTGACAAACAATATCTACATAACAGGGGTAAAAATGGGCTACTGGCTAAGGGATAGAATGGTAAATGGACCACAAGCAATAAAGGCTGCAAATACACATCCTGCTTAACACACATATAGAAAAAGCCAGGCGACACCTAACATGCGGAAGGTATACACCCCCCCCCCTGACTCATAAGGAGTCATAAGGCCATGTCATGTACCACCATTGCCTTTAAACGCTATAGCACACACGTTCCTAGGGCATGTCCCCAACTGTAACCCCATCCCAAGGAGGACAGGAACGGTTGTTAACGCAGTAGTGTAAACTCACCGGCCAGGCGGGCCAGCACTAGGCGGCATAGGCAAAGTTCTACTACCTAATATATCTCAACCTGTTATATATTAGTTTCTAATTCTTGTATTCATTAACAAAATGTGCAAGCAAAACCTGTGATAACCTCTGTTTGATACTGCTGATTGAGCCTGTAAATGATGTTGTTGGAAGGCAGGCACCGTTGGACTCACCTGCATAGTAAAAATATTAAATTAAACATATACAAAAAAACATTTAATACACACACACATATATATATATCCTAGCATTCACACAGTGACCCTACCCAAACATGTGTCCCTGCATACAAGAACACACAAATCATTCCATGCAAATACATCCCTACACACACGTTGTGTGCATATCTGAAATAAAAAACAACAACAATTTATACCTGGCTACTAATGCAAAATGTGAACTTTTAAAGGAACACTTCAGGCTAATACTTTATACTTTATATGTCTAGAGTCCGTCATATATATTTGTGACAGCTTATCAAGGTGCAATTTCTGTAGAAATCTGCATTTTTATAAAAGGTTACTTAAAAGGCTTCCAATCAGACAGCCCAGGGAGGTTTTCTCCCTATTCATTTAGTTCTACAATGGATGCGGCTGGTGTGTTGGGTCAAAGCTCATTGAAGCATAGGAAAGGTGTGTGCGGGTGAACATTTGAAGTCTAGGTACAGAGACTTCTCAATGAGAAGCTTCTGATTGAAGTATTCCCTGGCACTGACCAAAAGTCCATGCCAGTGAAAGAGGGGAGAGCTTGCGGCTGGTGTGTTGGGTCAAAGCTCATTGAGAAGCATAGGAAAGGTGTGTGCAAGTGAACATTTGAAGTCTAGGTACAGAGACTTCTCAATGAGAAGCTTCTGATTGAAGTATTCCCTGGCACTGACCAAAAGTCCATGTCAGTGAAAGAGGGGAGAGCTTGCGGCTGGTGTGTTGGGTCAAAGCTCATTGAGAGCATAGGAAAGGTGTGTGCAAGTGAACATTTGAAGTCTAGGTACAGAGACTTCTCAATGAGAAGCTTCTGATTGAAGTATTCCCTGGCACTGACCAAGAGTCCATGCCAGTGAAAGAGGGGAGAGTTTGCAAAGGTCTGCGGATTTTTAAAGCAGTTTTTTTTTCTTCATATATTTCCAAAGAAAACATGCAGAAAAATATACATGCATGTTCTTGCTCTTGTTAACAAAAAAAACAAAACAAAAAAAAGACAAAGATTCTATTACAGACCCTAAATTACAGAGCTTGCACTCTATCCATACAGTCTGTAAGGCAGGCCACTCTATCCTTTATACTCACCTGAGAAGGTCACATGCACGATCACACTGTGTACCAGGAGATGCAGCAGATGAAACATTCTCGCCTTTGCACCTATTCAGTCACAAACTTTGCAAAGTAGATAAGCCAGGGAAAAATTCACAATTTATTCAGCCTTTTGTGTCCTAGAAAGCTTCAATATTGGTCAGTCAATTTAGTCTTGGTAAACTCATAGCTAATAGTTTCAAGCCCTGAGTCAATGTGTGTATGTTGTTTATATACATCCTCGAGCTCAGTTATGACTGGGTGGAGCGAGAATCTTTGTCCAATAATTGACAGACCAAAAATTACTAGGCAACAGTAAATGTACAGGTTGTCTTGAAAATGAAAGTAGTGTTTGATTGCATAGTTACACGGGCAGAAAATAGACATGCATAAAGTTCAGCTTTTAATGATGATTTAAGGAAAAATATATCATACTTTTTAATTGTTTCAGAAGATCTTAAAAAATCTGCTTGTCCAAGGGACTAAAGCAGTACCCTACTCATCTTCTCTATCATGACAATCTTACTTGTCCAACACAAAATAGCTACACATTGTGGCCGATGCATAGAGCTCTGGACATTGACACGTTTATTTGCTAAACTCAGAATTTTTGCAAACTAAATCCTAAATGCACAAATGTAAATGCAAAAATTTGGAGTTGAGTGAATAACCCTGTGTGTCTCACCCTCTGCCCCCCCCCTCCCACTCCCTTCTCCATAGTCTCTCCCTGTAGATCCTTCTGAATGTCTTTTGTATGTCTGTGTTGGATGCATGTGTGCTGGGTGTATGTGCATGTCTGATGTGCACTGACTGTGTGCAATGTGTAATGTGTTTTGGCTGTGTGTGTGCTGACTGTGTGTAATGTGTGTGTGTGTGTGAGAGAGTATTTGATGTGTGCAGCCTGTATGCAATGTGTGTGTAATTTATTGGTATGTGTGTTGGCTGGGTATAATGCGTGTGGTGTGCATTGGCTGTATGTAATGTGTGTTGTTTGTGTGAAATATGTGTGTGGTCTGTGTGCTGGCTATGTGTAATGTGTGTATGTGTATTGGTTAAACACACATTCCCTACCCTGACCCAGAACACCCCAAGCTCTCTTACACTAGCTATTTATTTATTTATAAAATATTTTACCAGGAAAGATACATTGAGAATTCTCTCGTTTTCAAGTATGTCCTGGGTCCACAAAACATTGCATTGTTACGCTATGCAAGCGGCAGGGCTAACAGCCCCAAAACATTTGTCTGTAAGGCATCTGGAACTGTATGTCCTGGGTGGCAGGTCATAGGAATTCCCCATTCTTGAATTTAAAGTAAGAGATATTTAGTCGGGGCGGAGCCTGATTGCCATGCCGGGTAGACATGTCTTGACTGAGCTCTGGACTTTTACACACGCAATAGCTGTTTTTTGAATAAAAAAACTCAACTGATAAGCAATTCACTAAGACATCTAATCGTCTCTAGCTGCACCCAAGCTTTATTTAAGTGAAAGTAACTCACCTTGTGAGGACACCCTCCCAGAGAGTAGACCAAATGATCTGTGGCCTGCTTTGCCCTGGAGAGGTGTCCACTCAGAAGGCTGTTGGAATCACCTTATGGAACCCGTCCCTCTCCTCCTGGGGGTTATCCTGGTCTAGCAGGTATCCCTGTTGAGACAGGGGTTCACTGCACTGCAGCCTAAATAGGCAAAAGCACAACGGCCTATCCAAGATGGTGGATGCCACGTGCGCATCACAGCCCAGCATTTAAGGCTCACATGTGTCCATGCTAGACAGGCTCATGGTGGACTTCTGTACGAAATTAAATCACCAACTGCAACCACCTTCCTTGTGGAAGGTAGGCTGTAACCCACCTCTTGAGCTGCTTATGAGCACTGTACCCCCTCCAGTGGCTCAAGCTCCAAGTTGGCTGCCTCTACACAGCCACTCACCTGCCAAAAATAACAAGAGAGAATTCGCTGGATCACTGGCACTTGAACCGATGAACGGATGAGACTATGGGCCAGGTTGCCGACCACTCGCCATCCAAGTCATCACCAGCATACATGGCACTCCTGCTTTTCAGCCAAGAAAAGCAGTTAACTGATGCCGGGAAAGGGAACACATTACTGCCATATGCTTTCTCCTCTCCATATGGCAAAGGCACCTTGCCACAGCACAGAGATTATTATTTTTTTGCGGGGGGTGGGGGATTCCCCAGGGCACAGTGTCCTAGACTTCTGCCTGGTCCCAAACCTAATTGACCTACGCATACATTACCTGAGGCCCTGCAGAATCGGCATCAGCTGAAACCAGTCATGAAGTGGGGCTTGCTCACCCTTGGGGATGGCTCATATACTCTTTATTCCCATTACCTGCTAAGCTATTTATCTTACTACTTACTCATTTTATGCAGTTTAATTTACTATCAGTGCATATGTTCTGCTTTAGATCTCTCTTTCACTAACGTTTTGCTAGCCTAGCACTGTGTTATTTTTGTCATGATTTATAAAATGTGCGGTTTTCTCTATATACCTTATGTGATGGATATGTCTAATTCATGATCACTTTTATCTACTGATGGCATTATCCTTGTTGTAACTTAGCACATCTAAAAATAAAGGATTAAAAATAAAAAGTAAGATTATTTGTAATCTATACTCTATGCATATTAGTTTCATGCGAATGGGCTCCATGGGATTCCTATCTGGGGTACAACACACTCAAACAAAACTACCGAACACCGGGCCGTTCGTGCACTTTCACCGAATAAGAAGGGAGGTCGGCGGCTTCAGCGGTGTTCGCGCAAAACTGTGTCCGATTTCAGTTACATGAATTAAGCGTCGAACACCGCTGTGCATTCGCATGTTTAAAATGGCCGCAACCTCGTGTTCGTGATACGAATGGCGGCCACCCAGCATTGTCAATTAAGCTGCGGTTAACCGCAGCTTCAGGGAGGTTAATTGCCGGCACACTCCAGCTCCCAGGTGGTCTATTCATTCGTGCGGTTGTTCGGTAGATTGAATCTACCGATCACCCGGCAGAAAAGCATGAATAAGTCTTTTCTGCAGGGAAAAGATGTATTTTAACATGGGGCCATAGTCCAAAGGCAGCAGGCGAGCAACCAGGCTTCTCCAGTGTACAGTGGCGAGGTTGGTTTCGCCACAGTAACTTCCATTACAAGATCCTTGCCAACAATCTACCATAACATGGGCGCTTGCCTCCCCCTTTGTCAATACACCACAACTGGTCTTCCAATACCATCTATGCTAACCGCTGGCTTTGGCTCAGTGGGCACATCCTTTACCATAACTTAAACCGAGGCTAGGGGTGGGATCAGCCCTGAACTTTACCACTGGACCACTGGTCCAACCCTGACTGGCAAGGACTTTCATCTTCCTGCTGTGATAAGAAAACAAAGTTAGCACAAGCAAATAACACCATAGCAGAAACATAACAAGGGAGGGTGGGCGGGAATTTGTTCCCAACCTGGATAATTAAGATGGATGAGGGATAATGGAAATAGCTGCGCCTATATATATGGCCACCCCTCTTACCAATAGCCCCTCCTCACTCTTACAGAACCTTTAATAAGCCTTTCTATAATTGGGATGTTGCACAGAGCATTGTGGTGAACATCCAGCAAACAAAAGAAGTCCTAAGAAATATGTGGAAGCTGACATTGTCTTGTTGTCAACCATCTTGCTACCCTTAGCTATTGTATACTCCTTTAAATACTTATTACATTTTCCTGAACTATTCTGAACTATTGAACTATTTTATTATTTTTATTTTTGTAGAGTTAGCCGAAGAGAGAGGAAGTGTTAGCTGATCCAGGGACGGATGTAGTATGTGTGTCTTTGATGTTTGTTGAATGTGCCAAGGATGGATTCCCATGTTTTGAGGAACTAAGTGTGGATATGACTGGTTTTGACTGGACCATTTGAATAGGGACATGGTTAGGAGACATAGAACGCAAGGTGCTGGTTGGGATTATTGTCAGAATTGCAAGCTAGATTATAATTTATCTCATGATTTAATATGTAAGTGGGCCTTTTCAATCATCCAGAAGTGTTTGCCCTCTCCTCCCAATATCCAAGCTATGTACTGACAGTTGCGGGTATTTTTGAAGTCACAAGTTGTGTCAATGTGAGAAATGACATGTCTACACGGTCGAGGTCCCCACTTAGGTTTTCCCCAGATGTGCTTTTTCTTTAAATATGAGTTTTTGCCACTAGGTTTTTTACCTGGCCCCAGATCACCGGGTGGACTGGTATTCCTATACCCTAGTTCACTGACGAGTAATAGGTATTATTCCCACTATGACTATATGCGTTTACTTTGTTAACGAAGGAGGGAAACTACTGGGAATAATACACTTTGTCTATATATAATTCTTAGAGAATATACCAGTAGACAGAGCTATAAACTTTCCTGTCTCAGTGTGTTGGTCTTATTTCCTGTTTTCTATTTCTGTAATTCTAACTGTGTAGTAACTTTTTTTATTTCAGCTGCGTAGTTAAACTGAAACTATAACGAGTACTCCCCCATTACACCTGCAATCTAGCTATAGGGTAATATATGTTGAGATAAGATTGATGAATTATGTTATTATTGGCTAATGTTTGTAAGACCACATCTGTTTCCTCTTGAATATAACCTGTTACACAGCCTATTAAATGTTAGAAGTCACCTTGAAACGTACATGGTCTTGTCTCGTTCATTGGAGCTCCTCACCAGCTGGTTTGGGGATGAGGAGAAGTACAGAGAGTTGCAATTTGATAAAAAAAAGACCATAGCCAGGGAAAATTCCTGACAGAGAAAATTCCTCACTATCAATAGCCTCTCATGATAAATATTGAATTGCCAAAAGCCAGGAGTGTGGTCTCTGAGTTTATGCTTAGTTTTTAAGTTAATATTTTTAGTTATTCATTTTATTAGTAATTCCATAAAGTTTATTTCAGGTAATCATTTGAATTCCATAACTCTGAAACACCGTACGGACAAATCACGAAACAAACAGAGCGGACAATGAAAGAGCCATTCCGTTTGTTGTGTGAGGCAGAGTTCTGTGGCACCTAATGAAAGATAACTGATTGGTGATTGATGGAAAAAAGATGATTGACGGTTAGGGGATAGCCACAAAATGTTTTTTTCACATATCAAGTGAGAAGTGACCAATAGAGGGAAAAAGGTGATCAGTAAAAACATATGTATATATTATA